TTAGCCTTTCATCAGCTGGGCTACACATTTTAATCCCTCACCCAGTGAGACCAATGCACTCCTGCCTTCGCTGCTGATAGCACTTCCGGCCTGATTTTAATAAGCATGACCTCAGCAGCAGAAAGTTTGCTTGCTCCACTTTACAAATTCAGTTACATAGTACCATCAATTTGGGGTTTAATGACATAATTTTTATTCTATATTTTAATTTAGCTACTCTAAATAGGCAAACTAATTTTACACATTGCTATTTTCAATAGTGCTTATTGTATGCTGAGTTCAATTTGATTAAAAAGCAGTGTATCTTTATAAACAAACAATGGGAATTTAAGACATGATGCTATGTCTTAATTTAATTCTACCCTTCTTTTTCATTGGTGGACAGTACAGATAATATTTTTATTAATGATATTATTTTGCTACTATTCGTAATTTATTTAATGATAAATAAGGTTTAATCCCTAGTAAAAGTCAGCAGAACAAATCTAGACAAGCTTTATCCTTGCATGGTCTCACCTTCTTCAACACAGCAGCCAGCCAAACAAATCCATAACCTTTATTTTACATTTCAGATTAACTGCCGCTTGCTGTGCTGTCTGACCTTGGAGGAACAATATAACTCTTAACTTGGATAAATGGAAAGAAGCCAACTTCATTTAAGAGTTTATGACTTTGTTTTATTTTGATTAACCATAATTACAATCAAACATAGTTTACAGTTTGGACAACTAGCTAAACTAGAGATAATTTAAAAAAACAGCAAACTTCATTAATCCCTTCTGAGCCACATGAGAAGTATATTCACAAAGTAAAAGAAGACAGAGGTTCAAAATTGATATGAATTCAATTTTTTTGTTTTTCATGACACAGACTGGTATTTGCTAACTTCAGGCGTGATGATGGCTACCCATTTAGACAGTTTTAAAGGAGAATTGGAACAGATTCATGGAGGGTCAGATTAACAGTGGCTACTAGGCTTAATGACTGATTTTAGAATCCTAGGCAGAAAGCCTGGAAAACCAGCTGCTGGGGAAAAAAAACATGGAAGAGGTTTATAACTTTTCTGTATCTCTTGGTAAGTTTCTCAGATACCCCTGGTTGGGTCCATTCTGGACTAGACATGACTTTGGCTTAATTCACAAGGCCCTTCTTATATTTTTGGAAATGGAAATTAGTCCCAGATGTTCAGAATACTTTTGTCATCAACATTGCATATATTCACCAATATTCACTGAGAAGATTGTGGGGCCTTTTCATACTTGAAGCTGGCTCAGGTGCCAGGCTAGGAGCCTATATTTATCCTTTCCACGATGCGAGAACCCAAGTGTTATGCTAGCATAGCTGCAGCAAATATAAATCCACTCAGCTGCTGATGCAAATAAAAGAAAATTCTCCTTTTTTTTTTAAACGTACAGGATGATTTGTAATAGAAGCAGCAAATACCTAAAAATGGCTAGAAGCCTATATGTGTTGCTTGGTAGCAGTATAGTTATTTTTCATCTTTTCTTTTTTAATATTCTGTTTGCAGGAATGGTGAACAGAGCATCTAAAATAACCACTTTCACATTGCAACAAACACATCATCATTTGCTTAAAAAGAGTTATAATTACAGTTGACGAAGCATGGACACCATAAAAATGCATTAGTTTAGCTTGACACATTAATTACCTGTTTTTGCAGATGTTTTTATATATTGTTGTGCGAACAGATTACAAAATAATTACAGGAAAGTCATATGGAAAACAAGCTAAGGGGGTGGTTTCTCGCCTAAATATTTTCATTCATGTGAATTTGTGCGAGGCACAGCTGCAGTATAGCAAATGGGCAGAGAGAGAGAGAGAGAGAGGGAGAGAGAGAAACGGAGGAATCTCGAAGGGTTTTTATTTGAAGGTCTCTGTCATCAGCATTATCACACTTTTTATATCTTTCTTCAGAGGACGATCTTTTAAAAAAAAAAATAAACCAACATTGCCTTATTTATAAAAGTCTGATTCAGGTAAAAAAAAACCCTCTGATCTTCATCAAATGAAACACAAATATCTGCTGGTATCAAGAAAGACATCTAAATAGGAAATGAATATTTTGTTTGAAGAAAGATGACCTTGCTTGATTGTGCTATAAAGACTAATTAAAAGCTTTAATATACCTAACACATATTGCTGAGCACATTGTAAGCCGCCCTGAGTCTCCGGAGAAGGGCGTCATATAAATCAAATTAAAAAAAAAAAAACACATATTCCTAATGTGTTTTTTTAATGTTTTAAAAAAATCTCAAAGCATAAAAATCTCAAGGATTATTCAGAAGTAACGTGACTTCAAATTCTGTTGAAAATCTCAGGACACATGAAGGCAATAGGAACTTGAATATTTGAAAATCATTAGTTTTGGCTTTTAATGTTTTTAGCAATATAATTAGAGGTTGGTTTTTTTTTTTTTGCAGGGATGTTGTTATTATTACAGGGCCAAAAATTGTTATAAAGAATTGGTATTATAGTTCTTTCATTTAAGGAGAAACAAGAAATAACTGAAAATAGCACATTAAAATTATTTACATTGTGAGATATTAACTGATTAATTATGTATAACATTCAACACATGTAAGAGATGTGTTGAAATTAAAAAATTAAAATCTAAAATTTGGCAACACTTCTAAGTCCAGTGAGTCAGTATCTGAGAAAAGTAGAAAGGAGGAACAAAAAAGGATAGAATTCACTAATTGAATTTGGTGCTATCATAACCTACTAAACATTATATAGCTAATCCCTAGATTTTGGAATGTCTTTTTGTTTCTGGGTATATGAGTGCCTATTTTTAAGCTTTTAAGTTTAAAAAAGTGCCCTAGGAATCCGAGGGTTTAAGCCACCCGTTAGAACATCATAAAATCCTAAAAAAATGAAAACATACTTTTTATTGGTTATATCTAGTGTGAAGATGCTTCTCCCCTCTCCCTACCCCTCTATGCTAGACGGCTAAATTTTGTGAAAATTTGTTTTTATATAGGAGTGTGAGTTTGAAGATTGATTGGTTTTATATATTACAGGCAAGATTTTACGGAAACACTGGCAAACATTTCTCATTTATCTCATGGGGATGTATTTGTACTAACATTGGAATGGAGAGGAAAATAAATTGCAATAGCTCAAGGCAAGAGCCCACTCTACTTTTGGAAGAGTCTGAAGATTTGGCTTTGTTGACTTGCATGGGGATCTCAGAGGAACACGGAACCTTGGGATTGGTTAATACTTGGAGAACCCTCCCCCTCCCCTTTTAACTTGGATTATTCTATCCTTGTTTTAATGGCCTCCTTTTATTGAAATACAGGTTGTCCTCGACTTATGACCACAATTGAGCCCAACATTTTTGTTGCTAAGTGACACATTTGTTAAGTGAATTTTGCTCCATTTTACGACCTTTCTTGCCACACTTGTGAAGTGAATCCCTGCAGTTGTTAAATTAGTACCACGGTTGTTCAGTGAATCTGGTTTTTCCATTGACTTTGCTGGTCAGAAGATCGCAAAATGTGATCACATGTCCCCGGGACTCTATAACAGTCATAAATGTGAGTCAGTTCGCAAGTGTCTGAATTTTGATCATGTGATCCTGGGGATGCTGCAAGAGTCATAAGTGTGAAAAACAGTCAAAAGTCCCTTTTTTCAGTGCTGTTGTAACTATGAACGGTCACTAAATGAACTATTGTAAATCGAAGACTACCTGTATCAGATTTTAATATGTTTTTTTTTCCTATAAAATTTAGAGGCATATATCAAATTCACATCTCTGTGAGATGTGAGCGATTTTACAGATCTGAGTGAGATGAGCGGGTTCTAAATTTGATTGTTGTTGTTAGTTGTGAAGTTATGTCCGACCCATTGCGGTCCCGTGGACAACGTTCCTCCAGGCCTTCCTGTCCTCTACCATCCTGCAATTCCCTCTACATGGGCCTGCCCCTGAGATACACCCGGAGACTCCAGCTGATCCAGAATGCAGCTGCACGGGTTGTTACGGGAGCCCCTTGTTACTCCCATATAACATCCCTCCTGCGTGAGCTGCACTGGTTACCAGTGGTTCTCCGGATCCGCTTCAAAGTGCTGGTTCTCACCTATAAGGCCCTACATGACTTAGGTCCGGGATATTTGCAGGACCTTCTCCTGCCTGCCTCTCACGGTCCTGTTCGCTCATACAGGGCCGTTCTCCTTAGGGTTCCGACGGCGAGCCAATGTCGTCTAGCGGTGCCCAGGGATAGGGCGTTCTCTGTGGGTGCTCCCACCCTCTGGAATGAGTTACCTACTGAGCTCCGGACGGCTCCTGATCTCCGCTCCTTCCATCGGGACCTGAAGACTTGGTTGTTCAAGCAAATAGGCTGACTCTGATTCCGGGTTTTATTATTTATTATTAATTAGTTATTTGGTTTAAAATGGGATTTTATTGTACATGTTTCTTAACTTGTGTTCGCCATCCTGAGTCCTTCGGGAGAAGGGCGGCATATAAATACATGTAATAAATAAATAAATCCTCTGGAGTCCATTTAAGCTCTCACTAAATTTGATATATAAACAAATAAAAATAAGGTGGGAAGAGAAAACACTTAAACGGGATCTAGGATTGGAAGGGCTACAGTGGATCATATTAGGGAATCTGTAGAACAGTTCTATAGAAAAAAAGTGAAGGCTGGGATAAGTAGATCTTGTATGATTGGAGTGGAGGGTGAAAGTGTTTCCATAAACTTTCTGTGAAATAGGATGCTATTACAGAAAAAAAATGGGTTCAGTAGCATTATTTTGGGTTTTTGGTGTTCAGACGTTGTCACAGACGTTTGTCTAGTGATGTAGTATCTTACTACAGTAGCCAATTTTTGATGAACATCCTATGGTAACCATTTGGTGATAGGAGCAACAAGGCATTAAAACTTCTATTGTGACCACTTTTCTCAGACCATAACTGAAAAAGAAATTGTTGCAGAGGTTTCAGGCTTATAAATATATTCCTTTATGGTACACAGGAGAATCAAGTCCAACTCGTCGTGAAGCAGTGAAGAGGAAGACTTCAGAATATCTGATGAGAGCAGAAAAAATTTCCAGCATTTACTGTAGATCCTCATCAGAAGATGGCTCAATACTTGGTGTAGGTTCTTTTTATTTCTAAAATAATTTAATTTTCTTGTGTTGGTGTACACATATGGACATATGTTGTGTCTCCTTCACAACTGATTGAATTTCTTTATGGTTAACAGTATCAAAAATATAAATGTGATAGATAAATAAATGAATATGGTTTATGCTAGATAAATAAATGCATGCATATATGGAATAAAGGGCTAAAAACATAGTGAAGGAAAATATCCCACAGTCTTCTGGTCCTAGCTGATTCTTCAGAAATGTTACATATTTATCCATTATTAGTTAAGAAAGAATACCACAGCCAAGATCAGCATTAGCATCATTATACATAGCTAAGGAAAACACTTTTTAATTTTTTCCTTGTTAGTGAGATAAGAACAAGTAAATTGCTAGAGAGATTTCTGTAACCCTGAATTTAGAGAAGATGGATGTAATCCTTAGATCTTATTTGTGAGGATCAGGCAATCTGTTATTTTGACTACAGATTATGTGTGTATTAAAGAAATAATTAGGGACGGGATTGTCTCAGATTGGGATCCTGGTGTGGTAAGCACGGAGTGTTAATTCTTCTCTTGCTGCAATCCAATCTGGAATGTGTTCTGTGTTCCTGAAATTAACATTGCTAAGCAAAAGATTAACAGAATAACCAAATTGGAAGGGAACTTGGAGGTCTTCTAGTCCAATCCCCTGCTCAGGCAGTAAACCCTATACCATTTCAGACAAATTGTTGTCCAATCTCTTCTTAAAAACTTCCAGTGTTGGAACATCCACAACTTCTGGAGACAAGTTGTTCCACTGGTTAATTGTTCTAACTGTCAGGAAATTTCTCCTTAGTTCTAAGTTGCTTCTCTCCTTGATTAGTTTCCATCCACTGCTTCTTGTCTTCCCTTCAGGAGCTTTGGAGAATAGGTTGACTCTCTCTTCTATGTGGCAGCCCCTTAGATATTGGAACACTGCTATCAAGTCACCCCTAGTCCTTCTTTTCATTAAAGTAAACATACCCAATTCCAGCAACTATTCTTCGTATGTTTTAGCCTCCAGTCCCGTAATCATCTCTATGGCTCTTCTCTGTGCTCTGATTCACTGATACCAGTGGGGATTTATTAAACTCCTCTCCTCCTGGGAGGAGAAGGAGAGAAAGCATCAGAACAATGCTTTGGTCCTGATCAGATTGAGCTTTCCATGAAGTCAGTTTGTTAAAACAAAAAATGCTGCACTTAGAATGCAAAACAGTGCAGAAACATGTAATATGAGATAAAGTGAAATGATAACGAGATCAGATTTGGAGAAAGCAGATTGGGAACATTGAAGAAAAGACAGTATCCTATAGAGATGTGATAAAGAATGTCTTGATGGTCATCTCTGAATACTGAAACTTTCTGATGCTATGATTTTTTTACATGGATTTTTTTTTTAACAAAAGAGATAGAACTAGTACAGCATTTGTAGTATTGAAATTGCTGTATTTTTTCGAACTCCAAGCCCAAGAGCTTTTGACAAATCTTGGCTTTACTCTACTTTAGTAACAGCAACAATATAATAAAATAATACAATGAACCTCCCTGGGACCATTTTCTTCTTACTCTTGGAATCCTTTCTACAGCTCTTGTGTGATTGTTGATGATTGCACTGGTGAAGAAATGTTAAAATTTCAGTTCCCCATTTGGATCACAAAATGACCACAGAGTCTTTGGCTTTACTTTAAACAATCCTGATAATAGTTCAAGCTCTTCAGTGGAGATAGGGGAATGGTGCAGGGTGAGCATACAGAGGAATAATCTATTGAACTGAAAAGCAATTAATCTGCTTTTTAAGCTTGTTTTCATTGAGAGAGAAAAAACTGGGGGAAAACTCTTCTGCAATAGAAGTCTTCATGTAAGCTTCGAAGGATTCCTCAGTCCCCCCTATTCCTGTGGACTGCTTAATTTAACTTAATTTGTAGACGTGCATATGTGTGAAGGGGGACCTAGCCATAGCAGAGACTGAAGTTAAAATTCTCTTAGGGTTCTTTCTAGCCTTATAATACTGATCTGCTTAATGAAAGATAAATTTCCTAATCAGCCATTAGACTGGCCTCCATATAAGAAGAACCCATACCCCACTTTTAAGCTGCCATATCAGAAGGAATGTTGCTACTATAATTAATTTCATATTTACAGGCAGCCTTAATTTATATTAGTTTTCTTCATTCAGATTTTACCTCACTTTCTCATGAAATGTTATGTACAGAGTGGCTTGTGATAGTAGAACAAAAATAGAGTAATTTAAATATGTGAAAAACATCAAACCTGGGTTTTCTCTGATTATGGCCCTGAATATGAGTTAGAAAATACTTGTAAAGAATATTATCTGCCTTAAACATAATTTTAACAATTGTAAACAGTTCTGTATCACCTAATGAACTGTATTTGGGCATGAATAGGAGTATGTGAGTTTTCAATCTTCTCTTCTGTATTTTGAATGATCTTGAATTTTGCTAAATGATGTTTATACCTTAGGTGCACTTTTGTAAGAAAACCCAGGAAAGAAAATTGTTCATGAGAGTTAGTCATCTGGAATGGCTAATTTACATTAGCAGTACCAACTGTACTTGTGGTCTTTCTTTTGCAAATTAATAACAGTGGTTCTGCTATACAAAATAAAATAAAATAAGACTTTCTGTGATTTCACTGGAGAAGTTCCCTAGTGTGTTTCCTCAATACTAAACCTAGATTTAGGTCACATCATAAGCTCTTATGACTTAATGAGAGTCATAAGCTCTTATGACTTAATGAGGCAAATTCTTGTCTACATAAGTTAGTCCTTAGTTCTGGAAACTGGGCAACTTATGTAGAGGACTGAGGTGGTAGTGCCCAGAAGTGTAAAGTGGCCTATTCTATTTCAGATTGCAGTTTTCAGTGGCATGTATTGCCATCAGGTTGGTGATTATAAAGATGATAGGCAACTGAAGATGACAAGGAGAAAGAATGCTTCCATTTAGATGAGGAAAATGACAGTCTGTAATGAGGAAGATTAATATTCAATTATGTGGCTTTACTTATGGGTCATTTGTTGTATTCATAGTGTAATACATTCCTTGGAATTCTGTAGTAGATCTCATCAAGGTTGAACACTTAAAAATAAATTTATTTGTTTAGTAACAAGTGTACTTCTCCTCAAACTTTCTTCCAAGTTAAGGCATCGCACACAATATTATTTATGGATTTGCTTTATTTTATGACCCCGTTTCTGTTCCTTTAGAATTTGAGTAATAATGTGTATGAATAACTTCTCCAGCATTGTACTCGAGTTTTCCTGCTTGCACAAAGAACTAGGAACTGTATGAATTGTGAATATTTTAAAAAATATTAATATTCCTTTTTGCCCTATATCCATTTTCATCTCTTGCAAATTATTTACTATCAACTTATTTTCCCCTCCTTTGCATTAAGGACAAACAGAAAACTTCTTTCATCTGCCTTCCCTCTGATTTATGATAAATTTAGTTTCCTTCAGCCTGGCATTTGCTTCAGCAGGCAACCTTCCTTCAAGTACCACCCTGATTGATGTTGTAATCTTTGATATCTTCCATTAGCCTCCAGGATCACTAAGTTCAAGGCCCTCTTGGAACCTAAGGAGCCCTGCCGAGGAACTGAAGGCCTTTCGAGTCCTTGGGGTGATTGACAAGGTAATTCTTCAGTGTCTCTTCAAGAGTTCAGTCATAAATCGACTGCATGCTGACATTCTGTCTTTGAAGCTGCGGTTCTTAAGGATATGAAACAAAGGAGGAAAATGACTCAAATGCATCTGCACTTTAAAATAACAAAAGTAGAAGGAAAAGAAAGGCTTTTATCTAAGCAATTCATGTAAGGTCATGCAAAATATATTTGAGTAAAAGAATTATGTTTGGTTCCATTCTGTGAGAAGGGCCTTGATTTTAAAAAGAATTGCTCTGCGCACTTTCAGAAAGTTGCCAAGATGGTATCAGGGGACAAACAACTTTGAAAGAAGGCAAGTTGGAAAATTCGACAGCCACTGAAAAGCTGGCAGCCCTAACTCAAAAACTAAGGTCAAGTACCAACAAAGAATTTCTTCAGTATTGTTTACTACCTTTTTAGTAGAGCCAATTATTTAACCTTTTTTTAGGTCTGCTGGTTCTTCTTTCCTCAAATCTCCAGATGACACAAATAATGAATGAGATTTGGATAACTGAAATACCTAAAATGCAGCTGCTATGAGTTTGGTCTAGTGGTTAAGGCACAAGGCTAGAAACCAGGGGACTATGAGTTCTAGATTTGCCTTTGGCATGTAAGCCACGAAAGCCAGCTGGGCGACTTTGGGCCAGTCGTTTTCTTTCAAACCATGAAACAACCACCACAGTCATCAACTATTATTTATAAAAATAATAAAGGCAGGATATAAAAGTCTAAAAATGGTTGTTGATGTTTAGCGGTGCTATATATTGTGTTATCAAATGAAACTGGGTTAATAATAGGTTATAAAGAAAGATACTGATGGCAAATAGTTGGTATTGCTTAGCCAGCTTTTTGAGCTGAATGTTGAAAATCCTTGGTTCCAGTGCCAATTCATTCATAACTTTGATTAGTTATTGATAGATAATCAGATTTTAGGATTGCTTGAATTTTTGAAATAGATTTGCAAAATTCCTAGGACAAATATGGAAGAAACTATAGAAATATTAATGTATAAAAATCCAAGGAATAAATATACAATGTTTATGTGTTGCTATCATCTTCCATGAGTTCCTTAAGAGAGTTAAAATGCCTTTTCAAGATAGTTATAGAAAAATATATTTCAGTTGGATACTAAACATTCTTAGTCTTCTTAAAAATATTATACAATGCCTGATGGTATGTGAACTAGTATCAGAGACTAAGTTCTAGTGGAATCTGAACTTGGAACACATTTGCTAAAAGTGAGAAGGGAGCGGAATGGATTAGAGTGACTAGGATAGAACCAACCACTAAACAGTATATTTGTTTTTTTTCTTGTTAATAAAATGAACAAAAAAATGCAGCCAGCCTGTGGGATTTTGGCTGACTCAAGGTAATCCTTGTAGCAAATGGGCTAATCAAATCAGGAATGGCCAATTGGTTGCTGAAGGTGAACCAGTTTAATCTAAACCCTAGCAAACTTATTATATTATAATCTGTATGTAGCAAATAGGAAGGGGATTCCAATTTGGGTATGTATGTGCATCTGAGAGAGTAAGACTGCCTTTTATGTTAAAACTGGCTTTAGATTTATGACAGTGGCCATAATGTCCATGAAAAGAATGATTTGTGTGGCAACAATTTATATCTAGCCAAGTGTCTGGGGGAATAAGATGTCCCTCAGAATAAATGGATACATACCTCTACTATTGTTTTATATTACATCTTTGCACTGTTATCCTTGTGATTAATTATCATATTAATCAATCATTGTCTATAGGCCAGTAGTACACAACCTTTTGGGGGGCCTTGGGATGTACCTGCCCATTGAAGGGCTATAGTCCAAAACTGGCATTGCAAGGGTTGGTGGAAGCAGGAGAAAAATGAGGTTTGATTTAAATATTGTATATGAAATATGTTCAGTATGATCACTTGTTATCAATATAACAATTCCCCTTTCTGCTGCTACATTCATATTACAATTTGGTAGAAATCTTTGGCTCAGTCTTTTTCAACCTTGGCAACGTGAAGATGTGTGAAGCTTAGAAATTTGAAGACTGACTAGGGAATTCTAGGAGATGAAGGCCACACATCTTCAAGCTGCCAAGGTTGAGAAATGCTGGTCTGGATTGGAAGTTGCACTCGGTATGCACCTTTGTTACAGGTGGTTTACAACCGCGGGATCTAGACTGTTTAAACAATTAAAATAGCTGAAGCGTTACAAACAATGAAGACACCCTTTCAAATTGAAGCTTAAACATGGAATTGTGTTTATTTTTAAAAATCTTAATAAGGTTCCATGACTTAGCAACAAGTGCTTAAACTTGTATTTAAAATTTCTTTCATTAAGAATTGGAGAAAACTCACCCAAAAGGTTGTCAATGCAATAGCTGAAAAGCAATTAACAAGCACCTTCCAAAGTGATTAGAAAAGGAAGTATGCAAACTCAGTGTCCTTTTGAAGACACCAACTGTGGTTTGAGCAAGAATTTTATTCTCCATTGTGGGTGGAGACAGTAGCCAGTGTGGGTGATACTCGCCCAATCAGCTTGAAGGACTGAATCTGTCAATAAGATTAAATCCCGCCCTTGTTGCTGGGTAGACCAGCTTTTGACTCAGTCCTTCAGTTGGACGGGCGTGTGGTTTCTAGCTCTCTAACCTTTCTGGTTATTTTCTTGTGGATTGCTTATTCTGGTTTCCTTTGACCCGTGTGACTGCACATTCTACGCGCAGTGCGGCTACGTCAGCAGCCTGGGCAACTCAGGCCCCATTACTGGAGATTTGTCGAGCGGCCACGTGGACTTCACCGGCTCCTTTTATTCGCCACTATAAACTTGACAAATTTGCCTCTGTAGAGGCAGCGTTTGGTCGGCAGGTGTTGCAGCGGGTTGTCTCTAGGGAGGTTGTTTTGGACCAGCCTGGTCCCCCCCAGGTTTCGGGACAGTGAACTTGGGTATGTCCCACACTGGCTGCTGTCTCCACCCACAATGGAGAAGGGGCGTTGGTCCTACCTGATACGCATTTTCTCATTGGGTGGAGACAGCAGCCAGACCCTCCCTATGCCAGTCTGGTCTTGTTTTTTGTCTGTCTCTGATTCTCTAATCTCTTTTACCACACGCCGAGTCTGTCCTTTTAGTTCTTCGCCAAAAGCTGGTCTACCCAGCAAAAAGGGCGGGATTTAATCTTATTGACAGTCTCAGTCCAAGCTGATTGGGCGAGTATCACCCACACTGGCTGCTGTCTCCACCCAACGAGAAGGTGCATATCAGGTAGGACCAACGCCCCTTCTCTCATCTCCCAGAGTGCTAAACCTACCAGATACCACTGTATTGTGGACTCCTCACAACAATTAAATATATGGAGCACTTGTGGATGATCTCAGGTTCTTTCCTTCTCTGAAGAGAGAGTTATTTGTTGGCTCTTCATTCTGCCGTAATCATTGGGGCCATCTTCAGTTTGCCATTTTTTCCATGCAAGTCCAAAACTCTTCAAGTTCCTCACATCCTGTGAAAAGAAAGAGAAGCCACTAATGTTGTGGCATCCCCTCGTGCCCCCCAGTCTCTTGTTTAAGCAGCAACTTTTCTTTCCTAACCAGGACCCTGTTCTTCTTGGTCAAATGCAAAACTGATTATTTAAAACTAATTTCCATAATTTGAAAGAGGAATCGGAAAAAGTTATCTTCTGGGGGAAAAAACCCCAAGGAAACAACATGGGTAGTGTAGTGGGGGTGGTAAAGCAGTTGTCCCAATTGGTAGACCAGCTCAATTTACTTTAACAACCTGTGGAGATGGAAGGTTTTATTCTAGACTCTTAATTCATCCAGTTATGTCCTTGTGACCTTGGCAAGGAGTTGAATAAGGTGACTAATGGCTCGCCATATTCTTTGCTTCTGGTGGTTTGCCTGTTGCCTGCCTCTGGGCCTACGGCTCCCTTCTGCCAACTTCTGTATTCCTTCGGCCTCTAATCTTGGCACTTTGATGCATATGTTCTGAAGGTGGCCACCATGACTTGGGGTGGCAGCAGATGGTAACCCTTCAGGCTGCCACCAGCTATGCGGGTGTTAAGTTGGAAACTTTGCTTTTGATGAAGAGTCAGCAGTGCATATGAAAGAGCTCTTGCTGCAGAAGTATCTTTTAATTAAAAAATTAGCATACTGAAACAGTTGCTAATGTCTATGTGTTTAAAGGCATCTAAAATCAACTATTTTCTTTAGGCTAAAGAGTGATTATTTACCAGCATTTTGCTCCTATTTTTTTTTTCTTTTTCTTTTTCCAGTGCATTTATTTGTAAACTCTTTTTTTTTCTTTATAGCAGACTGAACTGCTGGATCCCAATCAAAACACTCAGAATTTTATGTGTAATTTTGTGAAGTGGGATAAAAGTAATGTTGACTTCACCTCTCCCCACATAAGCCCTTTGTAGGGAAACAAGGTTGCAATCTGTGTAATACTTAACTGACAACAAGCCCATTAAATTCAGTGGGAATAACTGTGGCGTAAACTACTATGTATTTGTGCTTTCTATCAGCATGGATCTTTGCTCAATAGGACTAGAATCACAGTATGTTTAACTTTTGAAATCCAGAAACTAAAGAACTCTTAATATTTTGGAGTCCTCCCATCTTCTAAACTTACTCAGTGCTATCATATATTCTGTTCCATATATAGCAATTTGTCCTAATTTACATACATTTTTGTACCTTTAATACTGCTCTTGGAGACTGAAAGTACTGTCAAAGCACAAAGACTCCTTTGAAGGGGCTGATGTGGTTTTTCTAGTTGTTGTTTAAAAAAACATGATCTGCATATTTGTCTTTAATGCATTTCTAGGGCGTTTGCCATCGTTATTTTGAAAAACTGGTACTTTTTTGAAAGACTGGTACTACTTTGGCTATAATATTATTTAAAATAAGCGAGGGAAACTGGAGCCACCTGGGCCAGGTTTGTCTCCTAAGAAGCACTGCCTGATTCTTTATTTATTAAGGAAGTAATCTGGTAATCTCAAATTCTAGTCTA